ATACAGGCTTGTCTGTAATGTTGAAGAGGTAATGATCAGGGGAAAGATCTAGGCCTATGTAAGAAACCCCAAATAGGAGACTCTCTTCTAGGTCTCTATTCCTTTACATACCACAGACATTCAACTTTTATTCCACATACTATTGAGTACTATGCTCAGTGTTGGGAGTAAAATATGGTAAAGAAAAAAAAAAAAAGATTGTCCCTACCTTCATGAAGATTACATTCCAGTAGGGGGAGATAGACATTAATCAAATAGTGACTCGTATGCATGGATATAATACAGGTTGAGTTCAGATGCAGAAAAGGAGAGTTCTGGGTTCATTAAAGACATAAAACAAAGGAACCTACACTAGCAAGGAGGTATTCGAGGGGGTAAAGGAAGTCCTCCTGGAAGGAATGATGTTTGAATTGAGATTTGAAAGTAGACTTGGAATTTACTAAGCAGAGGGCATGGAGAAAAGAGCTAGGTTAGGGAGCCTTCCTGAGGGAGGGTGGGAATTCTGTTAATGGGTGCACAGATGGCTCATTCAAATAAAAAAATCTGCTCTTGCTGGAGCAGAAAGAGCCAGGGAGGGCTAGTGGGGAAGAAACCTACTCTCTGCATTTCACAGGCCAGTAGCTTGATAGGTTCCTGGGCAGACGAAGGCCAACTGTGGATCCTTGAAGACAGAGGTTGGATAAGAGGGAGGTCAGCAATTAGCGTAGACTCCCTCAATGGAAGTTTGTTTGGATTCCTGATCCAGGCCTTCGTGTTCTCCAAACTGAACTGGGCATTTCTATCAGTTGCAAGGGCCTCAGCTAACTAATGCCAAACAAATACTTTTCACAAAAGGTGTTGCATTGTAGGTGGCCACCTCATTATGCAAATGGCCCTGTAACTCATCCTCTGGGAGCTCGCAAATGCTGCCCCACCTCTGTTAGGAAAGAAACTGCATCCTTTTCTCTTTCCTCACCCTCATTAGCAAATGGAATTACAAGGTGGAATGCACAGAGGAAGCATGCCAGCAGGAAGCATCCTCCAAAGAATCTGCGGGGGTCCTTCCATTTGCAAACTTGGGGAGGTGTTAATGGAACACTCTTGTCTCCCCCAAAGAAATCTGAAGTGGAAGCTCCTCCTGTAAAATGAGTAACGCAGCAGCGTTGCCTCGTTGTAGAAGACCCACCACCTTCTCCCCCTTCCTCCATCCCCTTGAGTGGCTCCCAGCATCAGTTTTACTCATATAAGCAAAATAGAAAGTTGATCGTTCATGCAATGGGCAGCTTTTCTAGAACCAAGAGATTACTAGGAGCAATTGAAATTTTTGGAAGAAAAGAAAACAAGAAATATAAGAGAACTTGTTGGTGGATCTGTGTTTACCAGTCCTCTGCCTGGAATAATTCAGTAGTTCCTCATTGCACTGCACATAAAACCCAGGCTTCATACCAGGCCTGTGAGGCCACACATCATCTGGTCCGGCCCTACCTGGCCTCACGCTACTGTGATTCCTTGTATCACTACGCTCCAGTTTACTCTCTGCCCTAGGGCCTCGGCACTAGAATGCTCTCGCCTCATATCCACATGGCTGGCTCCCTCGCTTCATCCTGTTCTCTACTCAAATGTCTTCCTCTCATAAAAGATTTTACCTAACTACTCTCTGTCAAACAGCCCCTCCCCCATTTGTGGTCACTCTCTAGCTTATTACCCTATTGCGTTTTATCACTGTTCGAAATTTTTTTATTTGTTTACTTGTTCTTATCTGTCTATATGAACTAGAATGTAAATACCATGAGTGCAAAGATCTAGTCTAACTTGTTCAACATCATATCTGCAAAGCCTGGAACAGTGCCTGGTGCTCAACACACAGTTGTGGGATGGATGTTATGTAATAGCATTCTCATACTTGGGGGATAGTCATGTGGATAAATACATTCGTTTATTCATCTGAGAAATATATAGTATACAAATATTCATTCATTTAACCAATAATTATTGAGAAACTGTTATGTCCTAGGCACTGGGAATAAGAAGCAAAAATAGAAACAGCATCCCTGCCTTTGAGGAGACCATAGGATTGTGGCCAATGTGGAGAGATGTGGAGAGAATCAAAGACCAGTTGGTCGTGGGAGGTGAAGAAGAGAGAGAGAGAACGAGCCTCAGGTTTTAGGCTTGGGCAGATGAGGAGATGACGGTGCCATTCTTTGAGCAAAGGAATCCCAGGTGACAAGGGGAGAAGAAAGCTTTAAAAATGTTGAGCTGTGGCATATCTAAATGGAGATAGCCAGCAAAGAGTTGGATATCCGAATCTTGGAGCTTGAGAGAGAAGTCTGGCTGGAAATACAGAGTTTATGAATCAAAGGCAAGGCTTGTAGTCCTGGGAGTAGGTGAGACAAATCAGCTAGGACAAAGTACAGAGAAAAAAAGTCAGACCTTGGAGAAAACCAACATTTAGGGGATGGTTAGAAGTCACACCTACAAAAGAATCTAAAAAGGAGAAACCAAAATAATGGAAAGCAGCAGAACTTATTGTCATAGTAGCTGGGGGAGGACAGTGCCTAATACATTAGAGAGGCCATGAGATGAGGACTGAAAGATAGCCACTGAACTTGCTGACAGAGTCATCTTCGCTAGAGCCATTGCCGTGTTGTGATATAGCTGCACGTATGTTTGTTGTGGGGGAAAGTAAAGACTGGGAAACCGAGAGAGGTGTAGAAAACTCTTGTAAGATGTTCAGTCCTGGAAGGAGGAGAGGGGTAGAAGGGTGGCTGAAGAGACTGGCTAGAAAAACGCATTCGGTGACACTCTAAAAGCGCAGAGCAAGGATCTTGATTGGAAACAACTGGGAGGCCACTGTGGCTTAATACAGAGTCAAACTTTCTCACCGTTAGAGTTCTTCAAAAATGGGTTGGGCTGCCTCCAGAAGGGCTGAGCTCTTGATTACTGGAGGTATCAAAAGATAGCCTGAATGTTATATTTAAAAAAAGAATAAGGTGTTAAATCAGTGATCTAGGCTTCTACCAAAGAAACTAGAGAAAGAAAAGCAAAGTAAACCAAAAGCAAGCAGAAGGAAAGATATACTAAAGATAAGAACAGAAATCAGTAACGTTGAGAACAGAAAAACTATAGAGAAATATGAGCGAAACTAAAAACTGGTTCTTTGAAGAAAAAAGTCAGTAAAATTGATAAGCCTCTAGGCACGCTGACCAAGAGAAAAAAAGAGAAGACACAAATTACCCATATTAGGAATGAAATAGGCACATCACTGTAGATCCCACAGACATCAAAAGGATAATAAAGGTGTACAACAAACAACTCTGTATCTGTATGTTAAGCTTAGATAAAAGGAGCAAGTCCTTGAGACGCAAACCCCCAAACTTCACTCAGAAAAACAATTCAATAGCCCGAGTTGTCCTATATCTACTAAAAAAATTTTATACATAGTTTAAAAAGAAAATTTCTAACAAAGAACATTCTAGATGTATATGGTTTCACTTGTGAATTCTATCAAACATTTAGGGAAAAAGTAATACCAATTCTACACAATCTCTTCCAGAAAGTAGAAAAGAGGGGGACCTCTTCCCAACTTATCTTATGAGGCCAACATCACCCTAATACCAAAACCAAAGACATTTGAAAAGAAAAATGCAAATCGTTCCCAATAAATATAGAGTTAAATCTTCAGCAAAGTATTAGCCAATAAAATCCAGCAGCACTTAAAAGGATAATGCATCGCAGCCAAGTGAAGTTTTCCCAAGAATGCAAGGCTGGTTCATCATTCAAAAATCAATCAATATGACTCATCATATTAATAAATTAAAGAATAACCTGAATGATCAATAAGCCATGTTTTTAGATTATATGATGAATCACAGGATCTAAGCTTAGACATAGCAATGAAGACCAGGTTATTTGATCCCCTGGTTAGGAGAGAAACAGCTGAATTAAGAAAGGGAGGTTTCTCCTCTGGCTAAGAAACTGAGAATTACCCTCAGATCAGGCAGGTCCCCTGAAGAGTTCACTTGTCCTCCCACTGCTATTCTTGTTTCAAGGACGGATCTATAATAACAGAGGGATTTGGGGTTCCCTTCTCGAGCAGGTGGCCTACTAGATTTTCAGCATGGCCTTATTCCACCAATTCCTGAGTAAAGAAAGCCAAGGACACTCACAATCCTGATTCTCTCTGATGCTTAGAATCCAAGAGTGTCAAAGTTGAATGAAGCCTGGATCTTACCTAATACAAATCCCCACAATTTAAAGAGAAACCAAAACCCAGTGGAGGGTGGCTCTTCTCGATCCCCGTCCTCAACTCGCCATTCCAAACCCCATGATCTGGTTCTGGGACCGTAGGCCCAGGAGACCCAGTCTTTCAAGCCTATTCTCCCCAAGACTTTTCCCTCCAACTTTCGTAGTATATGTTTGCTTTTAAGCTTACGTTTATGCATAAACATAAGGTCACCATCAAAACCTGTCTGTCCTGAGTTCTAGACCCTCTTCTCTCACTAGTTAGTACCTGATGTGGAGAAAACCAGCCAGACGCAGGTCTTCACACAGATTCATTCCAGATTAGTGGATTGGAGGGTTGACCCAGCCACCTGCTTTGAATGCAAAGGCCTCACAACCAGCAAGACAAAAGCAGTCTGGAGCCCATCATTTCTGCTTAGTCCCACTGTCACTCATTCAGATTCTTCAACAAACTCCTTATAAGATTATAATGAAAATGTATTGCACACTGATTACGCGCCAGGGACTTTGCTATGAGGTTATGAGGTTATGCATTCTCTCACTTAATCCTCACAACAGCCCATTAAAATAGGTACTATTCTCATCTTCATTTTGCAGATAAATAATTGGGCTCAGAGAGGTTAAGCAACTTGCCTGAGATCCCACAGCTAATAAGTAGAAGAGCCAGAATTTGAACTCAGGTGTGGCTGACTCCAATGCTCAAGTTTTTAAGAATGAAAATTCTTTCTGGATTAAATGAAAAAATTTTTTTCTTTCTTTCTCTCCATATCTGTTTGCAGTCTCAGGAGGAAGTCTGTGATTTGCTCCATGCTGCACCCTTCCAAAATATCTTGCCAAGAGTCTACATCAAAGGTAAGAAACCAGAAACAGCGGCTAGATAGCCATCTTGAATTTGAACTTCACACTCACTTAATCCCAATACACTCAGATCTGCAGTCAGAAAGGGTGAAAGTTAAAGTTGTGGGAAGCTATTGAATAGTCACAGAATGGTGGAACTGGAAATGATATGCCAGATCTCATTCCTTGGTCCTTCTAGGACATCCCTAGCATCTCTCTGTCTAGCCTTGTATTAAATTCTTCAAGTGATGGGGAACTCATCACCCCATGAAATAGATGATTCCATTGTTGGACTGAGATAATAGAACGTTTTCTCTTATAACTAGTTCTGATCACACTGGCCAGAACCAAGGAGAATAGTTCTACATGCTCCATCCAAGTGTTGGAATACAAATAGGTCACCAGGTCCTCCGAGTGTTGTTTCTTCCCCAGTACCTGCTGGTGTGCCCTGGATCCCAACCTCTGCCTACTGCTCTTATTACAGAGGGGGAGCGTTTGGAGGTTCGGATGAAACGCCTGGAAGCCAAGTATGCCCCGCTTCACCTGGTCCCTCTGATAGAGCGGCTGGGGACCCCTCAGGTATGATGCTGCCATCATGGATTCTAAGAACTAAAAGGAACTTTGGAGGGAGAGCATTTGGTCCTCATTTTATAGGTAGGGAAACTGAGGCCCAGAAAGAGGAAGAGAATGGCTAGCCTCATAAAGCCTGTTAATGGCCGGGGCAAGTCTGCATTGAGATTTGCTGACTCTCAGGCCTGAGTTCTTTATTCTACACCCTGTATCCTCTATCCTGCCAAGAAAGAAAGAAATCAAACGAGTGTCTATTATGTCCTCGTTAGATATCAAGAATTCTGCTAAGTTATCTCTCTGAATTAAAACTCTACACACTCTTTGAGTCACTAGTTCACTTCTGGATATCTCTGCAAAAAAAAAAAAAAAATCTTACAGAAACATAAGATATTTACCGTTGCATTGTTAAAGCAAAAACTGGAAAAAACCCTAAATGTCAATCAGATGCCATGGGTCCGATGAATAAAGCAAGTTGCACTACAGTTCGTATAGTATGATGCCACCTATACGTTTTTAAACACTTATGTGTTTTTAAACACATAACAAAACCATGTAAGTAAAACTCTTCCTAGAAAATGACACACACAACCAGCTCATAACAGTGTAGCCTCTAAAGAGAGATGAAAGAGACAGAGATGGGGGTGGGTATCAAAGAAGACCTCAGCTTTATCTATAATGTTCTAATGTAATCAAAGATAAATAATCTCATGTGTTAATTCTGTAATTAAAACTAATTTTTACACAGCAGTCATACCAGCCCCTACGAACATGGAGATGAGTAAGACAGGACCCTGCCTTCAGAGAGCTCACAGACGGTGCAGGGGTCAGGAGGGTAGAGAAATAGGAAGAGTGAGGGACAAAAAAACACGTGCTGTCACCTTTCAAGCTGATTTTAGCAATATACATATTTCGGGGCCAATGTGCATATGTGGGGGCTTATGTTCATATCTGGGGACACAGGAGAAGCGTTCAGGAAGAAGAGAAACCGAGCACCCCAGGGAGATAAGTTTGTTTTGTTCACCAAAGCTTCCTGTTTACAAGGTTTAGGATTTGAATCCACCTCCATTCCTATAGTTCTCTCTCCTGTTACCACAAAAGCTTGAGCCTAAGGACTCACATCCTTGGCAGAGGGCAGCAGGCAGCCTCTTCTCTCAAAGAGCATGACAAGTATCTGGAGCACATTGCAGAGCCTGATCTGCCGAGCTGTCACGCCGATGAGCAACCCTCGCTGGACCCCTGCATGCCACCACCTCCTACTGACGACATGAGTAAACGTTCAGTGGCGTTTGGGTTCTCTGAGTCATCCCAGAGAGAATTCGGATGCTGTGGAGGGCACACGTTTTCCTTTCTGGCCTACAGGGGCTGAACAGAGGAGATCAGCTAAAGATTTCCTTTTAGGGAGAAATCCCCCGAGCCGGCAGCACACAAATGTCTGCCCTACGGTTGGTGTCATTCTACAGGAATCTTCCCCCTCGCACCCAGGATTTGGCGTGTGTTTCCACTTACAAGACTGTGAATTCCTTCCCTGTTCTGGTCAACACCATCTCCTTGGGACCAATAGACTTCCCAATTTGTCAAATGCTGAGTATTTAACAAACAAAAGCCTAGATGTTCTGCAGGAGAGGAAATGCCGGTTTTATAATTCTCCCAGCCCTCAAGGAATAGTCCAAAATTTTAGTCGTCCAGTACACCAAAGAAAAGTTAACAAAGTATTAACTTCCAAGCTAGCTGCAGTTCAGGAACTCGTATAACATCTAGGCCAGTGACAGGGAAATTCTGCTACATATTAAAAGTCAGGAGGTTTTAACAGTACTGCATCGTTTGCATTTATTTCTGGGACAAATTGAAAAGACCTGATATGTTGCCCAGTGCTATCATGGAATTACACTGTGGCAGAGGGTCAAAAGACAGGGGTCCTTGTCCCAACTTCCCCTCTGAATTGTCACATAACCTAGTGCTAGACATTTAATATCTCTGTCATTGTTTCTCCATCTTTAAAATGGGCTAATAGCTGTTTTGCTTGCTTAGTCGAGCTGCCTTACATGATTGTCACAATGAATAAATAAGTAAAAGAGTTCCAAAAAACACAAAGTTATGTAAGGAAGGAGTATTAAGACATCATTCTCCTCCAGAGGTACTAGATGTAATCAACTTAAGTATTCCGTGGAGAAATTTGTTTCCACGTGCTTTCACAGATGCTTTTTCTATTCCTTTGTTAACTCAGAAAAGAATGGCAGAGAAGAAAAATCCCTCACTGACTGGTATAGAAAAGAAATGGATAAAATTTATGTTAAACACGCGCACAATATATATATATACCGATCTACAAATTGGGGATTTTTGCAACAAATAACCTATAATATACTTTTTCAGAGCAAAAAGAAAATGATAGATATACACCAAAAGAAAAAAGGACATGAAGGAAAACTGACAACATAAAAAATATGAATGCCGACAAACATTAAAACAAAGTGTTCGGCTTTACCAGTAATCAATGAAATGTAAAATAAAAGAACAGAGTACAGCTTTTCATCTCTCACGCTGGCAAAGAACTGCTCCTAATGATAACAGCATTGGCGATGGCAAGGATATAGCCTTCACACGATGGGTGCCGGAGGTTCAGCTTTTCTTGAGACTGCTTTGCCACTGCGGAGCGAAAGCCTTTTAAAATATTTATACCCTCGAACTGAGTAGTTCTACTTCTAGGATTTTATCCTAAGGAGATCACCAGAGATAAGTTCACAAAAGTATTACGTATAAGGTTGGTTGTTTAAAAATTGTCTGTGATAGTGAAAATTTGTAAACAATTTAAAATAACTAACAAGAACCGAAGACTAAATGATTGATGGCATGTCCATGGCCACTTTATGTAGCCATTGAAAAATTATGTTACTGAAAATATTGAAGGAAATGGTTTTTTAGATTTCTGATATCTTAAGAGAGGAAAGCAATACAGATAATACTATTGAAATTTTGTTAAATATCGATGTATATACACGCTCACATATGTAAACACAAACAAATTACTCTTCAGTATTTTAAGAAAGCTCATAATGGGGTTTCTGGGAGATTTTTATTTTCTTATATAACGTTTAAAATTTTTTTTTTCCAGATTTTACTCAGTGACAATACTACTTTCATAGTTCACAAGAAAAGCTGTAAGGCAAACACTTTTTCAAGGGAAGGACAAAGCTCTTAACCATTTCAGTCAAGGCCCCTTTGCTTGGCTATAAGTAGGTGGGGTGTAGTCACAGAATTTAAAGTCCCTCAGCAGATTTATAAAACCCCTCCTTAACTGTTTAATCCCCTTAGACTGTCAGGCCCTGAGGGTTGATTCGAACTAACTAAATGCACAGGAGATTAATTAATAACCCACAACTCTATTATTTTATAAAGGAGAATATTCATGACTCAAGAACAAATATAGATCCTTTATTTACTGAGCATCTTCACTGTTCCAGGCGCTCTCTCTTTGAAATGAAGGCCCAAATGCCAGCCTGGTAGAATTGCCTGGTGAGAACGGAATCAAGTACAGGGTTCAGGATTTTGTAAGAGCTATTTCTCATTAACTGTGGCAACTCGAGTGGTCCCTTCTCTGCTCAAGAGCTATCTTTCTCTGCTCACGAAATCAAGATGCATCACTGTGTACCAGGGTTCCCTCTCCTTCCTGTTTGAAACATGTTGTCAAACTCTTCTTCCCCAATTCACACTTTTTTCCCTAGACTTTTTTCAGTTCACAGTCGTCATGGCAACTGCACTCCCGGCCCACATTCCTAACTGGCTCCATTGGTGGTGTTTCTTGATTTATTTCCCTCTGTGGATTAACTCAGAAGCTGTCCTCTCCTGGGGGCTCAGGGCAAGAGCTTACAGAGAGAAGCCAGGCAGGCTCCCTCATGGGCACCGGTAAAATGAGCTCTCTGGGGAGACCACCCTCTTCTGGGGAGCCCATCCCGCAAGTGCTCTGTGGACCTCTTGGTCTGAGAAGCCGGCCCTCTTTTGCTTTGTAATTTTCTACAATGTGCACTGATACACACTGTTTATTTATTAGCCTTGTTATTGGCGGATCGGTAGAAATAGTATTCCTTTTTTTATTTTAGGTGAGTGACTATCTCAACATGTATTAAAACATGCTTTGGAGACCTTACTGGGACCTTAGATTTTATTATCTGTCTTACTTTGCACACGGCTTTTGAGACCTCTACCTCTAGACATTTTTACTCGTAATGCAGACAGTAATGCATTTTGATGTGCTTGTCTAGCCAACTGGTTATTAGAGATGCAATAACCAGAAGTCAGATGAGAAGCCATTTTAAATTATTAATGGAGATCATATATAGTGGTCGGAGGATTTCTCGTTGAGGGAAATAATTCTCTAAAATCAGTGGCAAATTTTTAAAAAGTAGCATATGCTCTCTAACATGTTCAATTGGACAAAAGTATTTAAAGTAAAAAGCAAAACTCTCACCCACTTCTCCAAGCCCATCCGCTCCCACAACTGTTCATCTTTCCAAAATGTCTTCCATGCACCCCACACACAGGCGTTCGTGTCTGTCTGCGGATCGTGTCGTGTTGGCATCTTTTAGTAGGATTGTAGTGTACATCCTTTTTTGCAACTTGCTCTATTCACTTAACAATTTAACCCACAGGTCTAGACGACCAGCATCCAGATCCCCACTTTACCGCTCACTGGCAGCCTCTCTGAACCTCAGTTTCCTCATCTGTAAAATGGGGATGATAATGTCCCCTACTTTGTGGGGTTGCTGTAAGGAATAAATGGAGTCAATACTTACCAAGTTCTTAGAATAGGACCTGGTGCGTTACACACACTCAGCGAGTATGAGTTAGTAGTAGTAATAGTAGAATAGTAGTGATAATACTCGTAGTAGGATCGCCTAGTCTTTTCAGTGGCTACCAAGCCTTTCATTCATCACATGGGTAGATAGAAATTTTTAAAAAATTATTCCTGTCGATGGTTCCTAGACTTTACTTACCGCACGACGTCTCTGCTCTTCACTCACATTTGTAAAGTTAGTGCCCCGCTGTGGGAGGGACATCAGTTCTGGTGAATGACTGCCAGAGGCAGGTATCTCCAGGGTTACGGACTCTCTGGTGAGAGATGGAAGATGAGGTCTGAGAGGTAGACAGGAGGTTTACATACCCTTCTGTTCCCAGCAAATCGCCATCGCTCGGGAGGGTGACCTGCTGACCAAGGAGCGGCTGTGCTGCGGCCTGTCCATGTTCGAGGTCATCCTGACCCGCATTCGAAGCTACCTGCAGGACCCCATCTGGCGGGGCCCGCCACCCACCAACGGCGTCATGCACGTTGACGAGTGCGTGGAATTCCACCGGCTGTGGAGTGCCATGCAGTTTGTCTACTGCATCCCCGTGGGGACCAACGAGTTCACAGCTGAGTGAGTACCCCCAGGGAAAGCAGGGTCATGCCTAACCTGCTTGTGTTTTCCGAGAGGCATCAGGCTGCCAGAGCCCAGCCAGAAAGGTGGACAGGGGCGAGCTGTCCAATGACTGCTTATTCAGCACATATTGTGTCGGCTGCTGTGTTAGGTGCTGGTCGTACACCAGTGCCAAGCAAAAGTAGACGGTTCTTGGCCTCGTGGGGATTATAGGGCCTATGGAGAGAGATGTGGCACATCAAACAAGGCAGCTTTGCAGCAAGGGCAGGAAGGGTGACAGACGCCGGAGAAGAGAGAGGAGTGGGTAATCGGAATTTAGTTCTCAGACTAGAACTGAATCTTGAACGTTGCTGGGATTCAGATCTTAGAGGGGAGAAGGGACCATTCCAGGAAGGGCCACAAGTGGCTAGAAGCAGAGATGAAGCGCGTGCATCTCCTGGATGTGCCCCAGAGGCTGAGGGCCTCTTGGGCCTTGTCTTTCCAAGACTGGGCTGATTGAATGGTCAGGAGGGACTCCTGGTGAAGGTTTGGCATGAAGAACCTCACTGCTCCCCAGACCCCCCGTTAAACCGCAGGGTTCATAGAACAGGGAAAGCCTTCCCTGACAGAGATCAGGCCCTCCTGCTCCTGGCGGCCTGGCTCATGAGGGCTCTACTCCTGAAAAATGGGGGGCCTTCAAGAGTCACCAAAAACCGCAGGGTTCATAGAACAAGGAAAGCCTTCCCTGACAGAGATCAGGCCCTCCCGCTCCTGGCGGCCTGGCTCATGAGGCCCCTTACTCCTGAAAAATGGGGGGCCTTCAAGAGTCACCCAAATCTGTCCTCAGAGGACACAGAAGCAGAATCCAGTTCTTCCTTCACTTACCCAACTACACATCAAGAACAGAGTGGCGAAGAAGGCAGACAAGGAGCCAAGCGCTCTAGAGAAAAGGCACATGCGGGCCAGAGAAGGCTTTGCCGAGGAAGTGGTGTTAGGGCTGGGTGCAAGATTGTCCAGAGCAGCTGCCGGCTGGCCTTTGTGGTGGGGAAGCAGGGAAACCGGCCCAGTCTGAGCTGCGGCTGCTGCATGAGGACAGGAAAGTCAGCAGAGAGGTGACCCCACAGCCGCCCAGACTTCCCAAATTGCCATTGAGAGTTGGGAGCACGCAGGCTGAGTTTTACCAGATCCAAGAAGACCCATAGCCCCTGCCCCACACTAGCAGCCTCTGCTCACACACACACCGTGCCCCATCCCTGCCCCCTCAGCCCACAGTGGCCACTTGATCTCCTGGTTTGAAATGGCCCTTCCCCTCACAGCTTGTTCCCAGCTTACATATGGAGCCAAACAGATTCTTCTTTGACTTGCCTAAAATAATCAGCCACGTAAGTCTCAATGACTGGTTGGATTTTTTTTCTTGCAAATTTGTCTTCTTTTTTACATCAGTGAGGCAACAGGCTGACACCTCTTTGTGGTTAGAAAGGCTTGTAATATAACCAGAGTCCTGGAACAAGCAAATCCATGCTCACTGCTTCCCTTGTACCCATTTTACAGACTAAGAGACCAGAGTCGGGCCTGCTCACTGGCCGTACTCCTGGTCCAAGATGAGGGCCCCTCCTCCCCGCTCCCCTGCCTCTCACTCCAGCTGCTTCCTCTCCCTGCTTCTAGGCAATGCTTTGGCGACGGCTTGAACTGGGCTGGCTGCTCCATCATCGTCCTGCTGGGCCAGCAGCGTCGCTTCGACCTGTTCGACTTCTGTTACCACCTGCTGAAAGTGCAGAGGCAGGACGGGAAGGACGAAATCATTAAGAATGTGGTAAGCGGCTCGTGGCTGGGGCCTGGGCGTTGGGGCCTGACAAGCAGGCTTTCATCTGGAAGGGAGGGTGAGCTGCTTATGGAGCCATCTCCCCACACTGCAGGACGTACAAAGACACTCCGTGGCTGGGGATGGGGATCTCCTCGTAGGAAGGCATGAGTCACTGAGATGAATCAGGTTACCCGCAGGGCAGGGCCTGGCTCCAGACCTGACATGCACCTTCCCTGTGCCAGTCAGACTGCTGATGCTGGCTCCTCGTCCTCACAAACTTTCACTAAGCACGAGAGCTGTGCAGGTGCGGGGTGGGGGAAGGACTATCATGGATAAGCAGGGCTGCTGTGGCAGCAAAAGAAGGGCTGAGGGGGGACGGGGGCCAGAGGAGGCTTCCCGTGGAGGTAGTGCTTGGACTAAGTCCAGAACGACTGACAGCAAATAGCCAGGCAGAAAGCAGGGTGCAGTGGGGGGCAGGATGTTCCTGATAGAGGGAACAGCTCGAGCAAAGACAGAGGCATGAAGCCAGAGCAAAGAGTGGGTCTCCAGGACTAGTTGAGAGGAGAAAGAGGCAGGAGCCACCTCATACAGGGTTTTTTTGCCCACATGGTAGAATACACATCACGTAAAACTTACCCATTTTAAGCGTATAGCGTAGCGGCATTAGCTGTGCTCACAGTGCTGTGCAACCATCACCGCCGTCCGTCTCCAGAACTTTTTCAGCCTTTCAAACTGAAACTCTGTGCCCATTAAACACTAACTCGCCATCCCCGACCCCGCCCCAGCCGCTGGTAACCACCTTTTCACTCTCTGTCTCTATGAATTTGACTACTCTAGGTACTTCATGTACATGGAATCCTCACTTAGTATAACGTAGTCAAGATTTACCATATTTTAATATGTGTCAGAATTTCCTTCCTTTTTAAGGCCAAATAATATTTTATTGAATGAATATACCACATTTTGTTTATTCATTCATCTGTCAGAGAACGCTTGAGTTGCTTCCACCTTCTGGCTATTGTGAATAATGCTGCTTTGATTGTGGGTGTACAAGTATCTGTTGAAGTCCCTGCTTTCATTCCTTTTGGGTATATACGTAGCAGTGGGATTGCTGGATCATACGGTAGTTCTATTTTTAATTTTCGAGGAACCGCCATACTTTTTTACAAAGTGACTGCACCATTTTATATTCCCGCCAGCAATGCCCGAGAGCTCTAATTTCTCCACATCCTTCCCAGCACTTGTTATTTTCTGGGGTTTTATTGGTAACAGCCATCCTAACGGATGTGAAGTGGTATCTTGTTGTGGTTTTGATTCTTGTTTCCCTAATGATTAGTGATGCCGAGCATTTTTTCATGTGTTTATCTTCTTTGGAGAAGTGTCTGTTCAAATCCTTTACTCACTTTTTAATCGGGTTGTTTGTTTTTTGTTGTTATTGAATTATATGAGTTCTTTATATATTCTGGATTTTAATCCCTTATTGGATATATGATTTGCAAATCTTTTCTCCCATTCCATGGGTTGCCCTTTCATTCTGCTAATAGTGTCCTTTGATGCAAGTAAGTTTTTAATTTTGATATAGTCCAGTTTATTTTTTCTTTTATTATCGGTGCTTTTGATGTCACATCCAAGAAATCATTTCCAAATCCAATGCCATGAAGCTTTTCCTGTCTATTTTCTTCTAAGAGTTTTATAGTTTTCACTCTTGTGTTTAGGTCTTTAATCCATTTTGAGCTAGTTTTTTGTATATGGTATAAGATAAGAATCCATCTTCATTTTTCTGCATGTGGATATCCAGTTTTCTGAGCACCATCTTTTCTCCATTGAGTGGTCTTGGCACCCTCGTCAGAAGTCATTTGACCATATGTGGAAGAGTTTATTTCTGGGCTCTCTATCCCATTGGTCTATATGTCTTTCTTCATGCTGGTACCACACTGTTTTGATTACTGTAGCTTTGTAATAAGTTTTGAAACTCACAAAAGACTTTACAGCCAAGTAAACATTTGATTGGCAAGCCCTTGGAACTCATAGAAGGCCTTAATACAAAAATGTGACATGATCTTTGACACATCAGGACCCTGGACTCCAACCTCACTGAATTCTTCTCTCCCTCCCCCTTTATTTCTCAATCCTCTCCTCCCGTCCCTAACCTACATGGCCCTATCCTTTGCAGCCCCTGAAGAAAATGGCAGACAGGATCAGGAAGTACCAGATTTTGAACAATGAGGTTTTTGCCATCCTGAACAAGTACATGAAGTCCGTGGAGACAGACAGTTCGACCGTGGAGCATGTGCGCTGCTTCCAGCCACCCATCCACCAGTCCCTGGCCACCACCTGCTAGGCAGAAGGTCCTGCAAACCCTCAATCTGGAGGAGAGGAAGCAGCAGGAGAGAGAAAGCCACGGCCAGCCCTGCAACAGGGTCTGACTGGACAATGTATGAATGGACCTGGAAGCAAATGAGAACCTCCCCAAACACATCTGCACCTCCCAAGGGCTGGGCCTGTGCATGCTCTCCCATGTCATCCCTGTGGTGGTTTTTCCCTAGTGTAAATGAAAACAAAACAAAACAAAACAAAAAACAGGGCAGTATGTGCTTTTTTTTCTTTTTCCCTCAGCTGAGCCCTAGTTTCACCGTTTCTCCATCTCACAGCTCACCTCACATCCATGGTTGCTTCTCAGGACCTCCTCCCAAGATGGCGACCTCCTACCTTGTACTTAGGTGTGACCTCAGAACTAAAGTTCAAAGATCAAGAAAAGTGTGGCCATGCCCCAAGATGTCAGCCCGGCCTGACAGGCATGCCTCCACCTACTGGCTCCTTCACCTCCTCTGGCTCCCTGCCCACTCTTATTCTTCTAGGTCGTAGCTCCTTCTGCTCTGGACCAGGTGCTTAAAGCCATGGCGAACAGGGGATGAGGTTCCTGGTATCGGCACCATGGGAGATGGTGTTGGCTCTGTCCTTCCACAGACTCCCCAGACCACGTCCTGACTCCCCTCTCCAGGCTCTCACAGAGAGAATGCAGAAGTGCATTCACAGCTGTGTCCCACTGGGCAGAATTTTGGTAGGAAGGTGGTCAGGCCCGATGTACAGAAGAGGTATTTATGACACAGCCCAAAACAGAAAGCTATTAAACCATCTCATCAGCTAGATGGTGTGATGGCTCCTTTATTCCTTAAGAAATGGTGAACACTGAGCTACACAGGGCAATGGACTCTGGAAGTACAACGCTGAACAAGTCAGGTGTGTCCTGCCACAACATTAGCAGGCAACCAGACTAGGGACCATTTCTTTACATACTCTCTCATCAAGGAAAACTCCCATGAGAAAGAAAATGTGAAGGGGTTATTTTAACAGAAGCTAGAAACATATTGGGGTAGGCAGGTGAGTATAAATAACACTTGTCAATGAGCCTTCGATACCAAGATATTCCCGCCAAAATGGTTTCTTGTTTGAGTGAATCAGGACTTCCATTATCTTAGAAATGGAAAGATTCTGAAGACATTTTATCTTTTGCTATCAACTTCCCAATGTTCCTTAACTTAGATTTTTGAGGTATGAGACACATCTCACAGAGGCATAGCTATTTCCATTTCCCAGACTGAACCAAAATTCCTTGCAGAATCGCACCCGCCCCCCGCCCTCCACCGC